GAGTGGAAGCAGCTGACAGAGGCTGGAGGAGATCGGCAGCAATGAACAAAAGGGGAAAACCTGGCAGCTGCTTATGATGGACAGTTCGTTAAAGACTCAGCTGGCCTTTACATCTCCTTTAAACTATAGTTTTTTGGGGTAAAGTCCCGCTTTGGATTCCTCCACTCTTTGCCAATCCTGCAACCCAAACCGTTCCAACGTATGCGCCGCAGTCTGAAATGTAAAACCCCAACATGAAGGCTTGCCAGAAAACCGTCTGCGGCAGAACAAATCTTTATTTTATGCCATTAATCGTCGTGTTTTTATTTGTAATAATACGCAGTAAATGATTTAACATCGGTCCCATGTACCAAGCCAAGATTAATATGTATACATGGCGCACCGACCAGGACCGCTATCTTTCATCGTCATCCCGCCTGGCCGAGGCCGCGCCTAGCCGGATGATCAATGGTAATATAAGGACGTATCCGTATATAAATGAACACGGGACTGTAATCCAAACAACACGGAGAGGGAAACTCGATTCGTAGGGCCACTAACTCTCCAAACACCCACTCGGCAAAAACAAATAGACGAGGATTAAAAAAAAAAAGAAAGCTTATCCTTCCTCCTCGGATACGACTCGACCCTTTACTAAAAGCCAAAACCAAAAGACGCCTCGGGGCGCTCAGCGCTGACCCTTAAATTGTTCTCTGGGCTCTGTGAGAAAGCCGGCTATGTCCTACACGCGACCTCGGATCATTTTATACAAAAATCAATCAACAATTGTTATCGCGGCTCCCTACAAGGAAATAAACCGGCCTAATGCTGCACAGCCATAGAGTTCTGTTATGGGTCGTATCGGCATTATTACATTCCGCGTTCCGTGGTGCATGACATTTCCACAAAGTTGGGATGCACCGATACCGATACTAGTATTGGAATCAGTGCCGATACTGAGTACTCGTACTCCCCTAAATGCTCCGAAACTCACCCCCGATACCAGAACTTCCGGTCAGAGGAAGATTTCCTCTGACTGGCAGTGCCATAGGGGAACATGGAGCCGGCTTCCTGGGCAATCAGGAAGCCAGATGGCGAGTAATGACCCGCCTGGCAACCTTCCATGAAGATACCAGGGGTGCAGGCAGTGGCGTAACAATAGCCATAGCGACCCAGGCGGTCGCTACGAGGCCCGGGCCCAGGGGGGCCCGGCCAGGACACCCCCCTGATGCCGTGCGGGCTGCCTGCGTGCAGCGCTGCGTTCTTCTCCATTGCCGCTGCTGAGTCAATGAGAGTCAGCAGCGGCGGTGGAGGAGGCTGGACGTAGCGGGGAGGAGGAGGCGGGGCCCGGGGGGTCAGCATCAGAGAAGGAGGCCGGGCCCGGCGACGGAGGAGGGAAGACGGAGGAAGAAGAGGCGTACAGGTAAGGAGTGTGACCAGCCCACCTGAGGGTGGCCCTGCAGAGCCCACCGTAGAAAGTCTATGGTGGGCTCTGCAGGGTCACCCTCAGGTGAGCTATGTGGGCTCTTCAAGGGGTGTAACTAAAAATCACGGGGCCCCATACAAAATTTTGCTATGGGGCCCTTTGATTTCTAGTTACGCCCCTGGGTGCAGGGGCAAGATCTAGGACTTAGCACCGGTTTGAATTAGATGCGGTCGAGGTGGGTGTTGTGGGCCCTATTGCTGTCATGTTGGATTCTGTTGTCATCTAGGGGAGCGATTCTGTTTTAAGTGATGCTTATGCAGGTGACATACCTCCTGAGACCCCGAATGTGCAGAGAATACGGGGCTCTGATGACTTGACAAGATCCACAGCTGAACTTGAGAAGAAGATGCAGAGGTAGAATCCAATGTACCTTAAAGGACATGTAGGACTCCTCCTCCTGGGGTGATGCAGAATGACCCCCCACAAGTAGTGAGGCAAGCTAACATTTTCAGCTCTGGGTCTGGTTCTTAGTGGGGTGGAAAATAAGTTGGGCGCCAGTGACTTTATTCTTTTTACTTTTTATTGCTGAACTCAATTCTAGGAGAGGAGAGCAGAGGAAATCAGTATAATAGAAAATGCTCCTTAGTGCCATCTGGTGGCCAAAATGCAGTAGTACATCATTACATTACTTTGGACCTCACAGAAAATGCTTCTCCTATTGGCCAATGCGCAGTATTACATACATACATTGGACCTCATAGAAAATGCTCCTCGGCTCCATCTGGTGGCCAAAATGCAGTAGTTCCTTACATACATTGGACCTCATAGAAAATGCTCCTCAGCTGCATCTAGTGGCCAAAATGCAGTATTACATTACATACATTGGACTTCATTAAAAATGCTCCTCAGCTCCATCTAGTGGATAAAAGTGCAGTAGTGCATTCCATACATTGGACCTTCTCAGCTCCATCTAGTGGCCAAAGTGCAGTATTACATTACATACATTGGACTTCATAGAAATGCTCCTAAGCTCCATCTAGTGGCCAAAGTGTAGTATAACATTACCTACATTGGACCTCATATAAAATGCTTCTCGGCTCCATCTAGTGGCCAAAGTGCAGTATAACATTACATACATTGGACCTCATATAAAATGCTTCTCGGCTCCATCTAGTGGCCAAAGTGCAGTATAACATTACATACATTGGACCTCATATAAAATGCTTCTCGGCTCCATCTAGTGGCCAAAGTGCAGTATAACATTACATACATTGGACCTCATAGAAAATGCTCTGTAGTGCCATCTAGTGGCCAAAATGTAGTAGTACATTAAATACTTGTTCAGAAAGATTTGTAGGGTGAATGGCTTTGCTAATTGGTTATAAACAGACCCCTAAGAGTCAGCCAACTGCATGAAAACAATGCACTCCCTGTGTGGCTGATATCTTATGCTAAGAGTTGTCAAGCATATAGGCAGAGTCATTGTAGCAGCTCACCTACCCTTCCTCTAAATGCTGATTTAAAAAAAAAAAAGTCTTATAAAAATAACTTGAAGCTAAACACAGCAGAAACAGTCTGATATAATGTGTACATTCACTGACAATATACCATATTATGCGTGACTTATCCATGTAACCTCTTACATATCATTTCCTCCCGGTAGCAGCATTCAGAAAATAATTCCTTGCAATAACTCTGACAAAGCGACGTCCTTAGAGGCCGCAGAACCTCCCGGGAAGCTGTCAGTCATTCTGTCCAAAAAAGGAGAGAAAACTGATCGGTACAATGATTGAGGGGCCCCAGATGGTCGTTTGGCCCTTCTAGTCACTGTTTGTAATTATAGACATACATATGTATTTTCATTTAAAGGGACAGAAATCCTTAAAGGTGAATATGTTCCTCTGTCAAATTATATGTTACTGCGCTCACCAATATATACATGTGATGGGGTTCACGTCATGCCGGAGCTATGGATGTGTGACAGTGTACATAACCCTAATACCGCGCTGAAAGAATGTTTACGTCTTCTATTCACAGCCTTGGTAGGTCTCTCGATTGTCATATCTTAAATAGAGGCTTTGCACTGGAGAAACTCATGACATAAGAGGAAGGATTTAATAACAGTTAAGTGTTAGGGAAAGGGTCCGTGTTACCAGTTAACAAACCCGTATTCATTACATTTAGTTTGCTACAGCTCTGTGTAATGTGTCCCGGAATCTACATCAGACACCCGTGTGACATTGCAGGAGCACAACTGGGAGATGGGGGCAAACGTTGTCACCCTATAACAGGAAGTGTCTGAGCAAGGACCCTTCATGGCAGGATTACTGTAATGAAAGCAGCAGATGTAAAAAAAAAAGAAATTAAAATACTTTTGAAATGTTATCCACGTGTTAAAGATTATACTAGTGAAAGGGTTTACTCAAACTTTAAAGGGTGAATTCGAGTCTTATTTACAGTTTTTTAACATATTAATTTTAATTTGGTAGACCTAAATGTTATCAATGGGTGCTGAAGGATCAGCCCACCCAAAAACTCCTCTTTCAGTATTGTCTAGATCAGTGGTCTCAAAGTACCGGCCCGCGGCCACCTGCATTAGGAACATGCGTTTCCTGCATCAGAAATCCCTAATCTGGCGTTTAAAAGCGGCCGCTGTCACCCATTCAAGTTAATGATCGGGTGAGAGCAGTTGCAAATAAACTCCTGCAGACCGCATGTAATGATACGTGATATTATTACATTCGGTTAGGAATCAATCAGTCTCTCTGGACGCAATGATTGTGTATCCATTGTTGTATTGATGATATCCCTGTGCTAAGTTCCTGAGTCTGCACATCTGCTGGAGCCAAGCCCTACTCAATAGAAGCCATTGTTTCCCAAGTCCTACTCCATTAAAAGCCACGGTTTCCCTATCCCTACTTCATAGAAGCCATGGTTTCCCAATCCCTACTTAATAAAAGCCACGGTTTCTTAATCCCTGCTCCGTAGAAGCCATGGTTTCCCAAGCCCTACTTCATACAAGCCATAGTTTCCCAAGCCCTACTCCATAGAAGCCATGGCTTCCCAAGCCCTACTTCATACAAGCCATAGTTTCCCAAGCCCTACTCCATAGAAGCCATGGCTTCCCAAGCCCTACTTCATACAAGCCATGGTTTCCCAAGCCCTACTCCATAGAAGCCATGGTTTCCCAAGCCCTACTTCATACAAGCCATGGTTTCCCAAGCCCTACTCCATAGAAGCCATGGTTTCCCAAGCCCTACTTCATACAAGCCATGGTTTCCCAAGCCCTACTCCATAGAAGCCATGGTTTCCCAAGCCCTACTTCATACAAGCCATGGTTTCCCAAGCCCTACTCTATTGAAGCCATGTTTTCCCAAGCCTACTTCATACAAGCCATGGTTTCCCAAGCACTACTCTATAGAAGCCATGGTTTCCCAAGCCCAACTCCATCAAAGCCATGGTTTGCCTGGGAACACGTTTTATATTATGTAGCCTATGCAAATAAAATGATCCCTATGACACTGCTGTTAACATTATTCTGTCCACTCCATCCCTTTCCCCTCTGTGCTGACCTTGTCCTCATTTTCTCTTACAGGTGGCAGTCTTAGGTTCCTGGGCCCGGGGCCCATCCACCTCCGTGCCCATTACATTCTGGTGTCAGATGGAGGGGAGCTCCTAGTGGGAGAAGACAATGCAGTCTTCGCAGGAAAAGCCCACATCACTTTATATGGAAGTTCTTATACCGCTCCGTTATATCCGTACGGGGTTAAATTCCTGGCTGTCCGCAACGCAACTATTTCCATGAATGGTAAGTGTGTACCTACCTCCTACTGACATGTATACATTTATAGAGTATACTTCTCTTTGATATTCTGCTCCATACTACTTTATGGGACTCCAAATTAAAGAGTAAGCATGCTCCCCTCCCCCATCAAATTGGGCAATAAAAGCACAGAGAAGAATTTTCAATCATGGTGGCCTGAGAGGCCTAATGCTGGACATTTTTTTACATCCCTCCGTGCTCTGGCATGTGGAAGGATGGCCGTGCCCATCCTAAAGTGGGCACATGTAGTTGAACCAGGCCCAGCATATGGTCAACATGCCACAGGATGCCAACACCACCCGGGCCATGGGCGAGGTGGAATTGTGATGACCGGGTGATGAGCTACAGTTTAATCTGCTCATATATCACCTTCCCTGGTTCCTTCATCCCTCTTATTAATATGCTAATGAAAATGTTATTACAAAGCTTATTTTAGTCCTAGTGATGTCATCACTGGGTCCCATGCAGGCAGATCCTAGCTGGTGGGAGGAGCTGGTGGGG